AACCTGGCCTAATGTACCTGGGTAACAGCTATATGAGGCCAACTGATCGACAGGAGACAGTTATCGTAATGCAGATATAATTTCCAAATTTTATTATAGATGAGATTTGAACCTTAGACCTGCCACTTGAAGGATGACAACCCAACCACTACACTAAGATTGCTATCCTTGTGCTTATAATAATTATAGTACTTATATTGCATATATTGATTATAATAATTATAATCAATATATGCAATATATGAATTATAATTATAATATGAATAGTTATTCCAAATATAGCAGAAGATTTTCATAGCCAAAAGAGTGTAACTTAAAGTCAAACAGCAAAGATCTATGATGAAATTGGCTATTTGTAGATCACATGTTTCTGGTCTAACAATATATATTGTATAGCTGATAGTAATTTTAAATATATCAATCAAATATAAGTTACAAAGATGATATTCAGTTTTTTGATAATTATACTAAAGAAGTTCAGTATAATAGTTATTACTGTAGCTATATTATTGATAAATTATAAAGTAAAACTTAAGATAAAACAGAACATTATAATGCAAAATAAAGTTATTTATATGTAATCTTCAAGATTACTAGCTTATCCTTAAACATCTTTCATTGCACTTCTAAATCATGAAAATCATAATCATTAGATATAATAAATTTATTAATTAATATGTATTATCTTAATTAAAATAAATTTTTTTATTTATAAATATTATATTATATAAGCAAATACTATATATATTTAACAACAAAAAAAATATTAAACTTATTATTTTCAAATTGCTTATTATTGCATAATATAATAACAAACATTGTAATAAATCAATAAACATCACTAAAATAGTATTAGTTAGGATTTTAACCAGTTGGTCTAAAGATGTAAACTAGTTAAAAACAGGCTATATCAATTGCAAACTGGCAGTTAACTATATAAACTAGTTTTAACTAGCCACAAAAACTGGTTTGTGAAATTTACATAAACAGTTATTAAAAACTAGTTAAATTTAAGTTAAATCAAAAAAGCTAAACTAGCTAGATTGATTAACAAGAAATTTAATTAACTAAATATTTACAAAGTAAAAAGATTTTTGTTAATTAATACAACTGATCTTTTTTTACCAAAACTTATTATCAATTATGTTCTTTAAAAAACTTTATTTTACTCTAACTTGAACTGATCTATTATATTTTTGCATAAAAAGGCAGTTGTTAATATATAGTTACAAAGAAAAATAATAAAAGCTATTAACTTAAAGATTCTTTCACTTTTGATATAGTTATTTATTAAATTATCTGTAAAATAAGTTCATATATTGCTTTTTGTAACCCAAAACTAAAACAAATTTTTTGTCTATTACTGCTTACTAGTATTATTTAAATTAATATTAATAATAATGTATTTATATTACTTTAATCTGTTAAATCATTATATATAGATGAAAGAAAGAAGAAACAATAAAGTTAGTTTTTCAAAAAATGATTAATAACAAAAAGAACAATAACTCTTCTTTACAGAAAGTAATTTTCAAACATTTTTTTCAAAATTTTTTGTTTTTATTATTCTACTAATTGCACTAACAATATATATATCTGTTCACTAATCCTTATACTATATATAGTAACTTTAAAATTTAATAATTATGTGATTACAGCATTATCAAGAAATTACTTATATCTAACAAAATATGTATTTTAAAAATTTATTTCAAAATAATCTATAAAAAGTAAATAAATTAATAATATATTAGTATTAGATTAAGTATTATATAATATAAAATCTATATTTGCAAAACAGAATATTATTATAAAATTAGACAATCATATTATAAAAAAAAGACTAGCAAATCTTAATTGTATAATATTTTCTAAAATAATATAAATTTTGCTAAAATCATTATACAAAAGCTTTTACTATATTTAATACTAATATATATATTTAATATATATATAATATTTATACTATATTTTTAATTAAGTCTGCTGCATACCAGGTTTTAAGACAAAAAGCTGCACAAGCTTTTTCAGAATCTAAACAGCTTTTAGTTAGACTAATAGTAAACTTTGCAATGCTAAACATTTGTTCATTTACAATACTTGTTGCTTGAACTATTAAATAATCTCATATTATACAAGCAAGAAAAGCCTAATAAGGATCTAAAGACTTTGTTTTTCAATAGATAAGAATATCAACTTCTTCAATAGGCAAATTTAAGTATTTTTTAAGAGAATTATTGTCATCTGCAAACATGTTATATGATCTGTTAAGATGCTGTTGAAAGTAATCTCATGAAGATTCTAATTTAGATAGTTCTTCTATAATTTTATTATTCTTAATTGCATAATACATTTTATGAGTATTATAAATTATTTGTTTTATCTTACTTATATCATCATACTCAAATAGTATTAGCTTATTATTTGAATCAAGAATTGCTGCCTTATAAAAAGTTGTCTTAAGTTCATTCCAATATTTGTTTAATTTTTTTTATTTTATGTACAACTGGCTATAATATATCAGTTTTATTTAGAACTTCATATATTATATTTATAATGACAGGAAATACTATTCAAAGATCTCCAAGTGTTGGATAACTTGATAATGAAAGAAGATTTGTAGCATGATAGATTAGTTCTGGTAATTTAGTAAGAGTCTAAAAAAAAATTAATTTTATTAGTTCTATTATTTATTTATTTATTATAATTATAATATTTATATTAAGCTCTTCCTATTTGGATATATATTTTTTAAATATAAATTTGATGCAACTAATATATCTGTAATATCCTAAATTTTGTGCAATTTTTTAATCATAATATAGATTAAATTTCATTGAGTATTAATATCAGTTGCTGGTACTAAAATAGAATATTTTTTCATAATAAAAATTTTTTTTAACTCTTTAAACATAATTTGAAATAAGCTTATAATATTTATAAATTCTCAAACTTTTTTTATTAAAAGTTCTACTTCATTAAGACCATCTTTTGCTACTAAGTTAAGAATATGTGCAGCATATTTAATATAATGAAATAATGTATTTTTATAATTATCTAACAATAACTTTGCAAGCTCATTTCCAAAAGCATTTATATTTGAAGCATTGTCTGTGATTATTGCTATAATTTTTTATCACCAAGACCAAAATATTTAATAGTAGTGTAAGTAGTATTAGCAAGTATAACACCTGTGTATCTTTCATAAAATAGTACTAAGTTTAGAAGAATACAATACATTTTCTATTTGTCATTAATCCAGTGAAAAGTTATAGATATATAGAACTAATTTGTATATGCTGTCTATATATAAGTAGTAAGTGCCATTTTGTTATTATGATTTTGAAAATATTTTTTAATTATTTCATATTGTTTTTTATAAATTAATTGTACTCTAGTAGAAATTGTTTGTCAGTATAGTAATTTATACCAAGAATTGAGTTCCAATATAAGAGTAATAAAATCTTCATCTTTAACAATAAAGAATGGTTGCTGATCACAAATAATTTATTACAAAAGTAATGCATTAATAATTGCAATTTTGTTTTTATCTATTATATTATATAAATAATTTTCTTAACTGAAAGTAAGTTTGATTAATTTTTTCCTACTCACTTTTATGATAATTCATAAAATGTCCTTTAACTGTACTAACATCTGATTTAGACTATATTTTTGTTTGCATATATTACAGATAATATTAGTAAAATCTTTATTTTATGAAAAATAGTCTCAAACTGAATGACATAGTCTGTTTTTCTTTACTTGTCTTTTATACTTATCATTTTCACTAATTATATCTTCATTTTTACTAATTATATTTTTATTTTCGCTAGTTGTTTCATTAATTCTATTTTTATTTTTACTAATTGTTTTACTAATTCTATTTTCCTTTTTATTATTACTAATTATTTCACTAATTATATTTTCTTTCTCACTTTTGCTAATAATATCACTAATTATATTTTCCTTTTCATTATTCATGACTTTAAGATCATAAATATTCATTATTGAGTTTTATAATACTAATTAAAAATTGGTAGCTTTTTACTGATCTATTATAAAGCTTGAATTTTAAGATTTTCTTTAGTTATATATACAAGACAAAACTTAATAATCTATTTATTTGTTATTTTTATTATATAATTAATTTAAAAAATTATATATCAATTATATATTATTAATTAATATTATATAAAATTTAGTATATTTTTTTATTTGAGCAATTATTTTACTTTGCTCTTCAATTTACATAAATATCTGATTAGTTGCATAAATTTTGTATAGATTTGTTTAAAAATTACACATTAATTGTATATTTTTTATTTACTCAATAAAATTTATAAACTGTACATTAAATATTTAATCAATCTATACCAAATTACATGCCAATTTCATAATTACATAAATACCTAATTAGTTGCATAAATTTTGTATAAATTCATTTAAAAATTATGAATTAATTATGTATTTTTAATTATCTAGTTACTTATTAATTATAATAAAATTTATGAACTGTACATTAAATATTTAATCAAGAAAGAAATTAGTGTTGAAAAGAATGAATGCAAAGCAGATAAACATTATTACAAAGCTGCAGAAATTTGTAAAAATAAATTGGAATTAAAAAGGATTAACATAAAGTATTCGAGTATTATCAAAAATTAGCAAAAATGAAATATGCTATAATATATATAGTGTTAAAAATTGTTATGAAAAAGGAATTAGTGTTGAAAAGGATGAAAACAAGGCATTTAAATATTATCAAAAATCAGCAGAGATGAAGTACATTGATGAAATAAATAAAATTATTAATAAGTATTAAATAATATAGTTTCTTTATAGTAAATTCAAAAATATTAATATAATAGAAAAAGAAGAATTTATAACTATATATTATACTTAATAAGAATTTGATGTTGCATTGAAATTAAGTTCTAAAATACAAAATTAAATTCAAAGTTTCTTAAATGAGGTAATTTATTAATTAATTTTTTTTTTTTGTATTATAAGCAGTAATTTTGTCTGTCTGTCTTTTATTGAGTAATATTTAGTTATTAATTAATACAAACATTATCAATAAAAGTATAACTAGCCACATATATAACTTTAGTCATTATCTAATTAAGGGTTTTACTCGAAGATTACCTACTAGCTACCATACCTGAGATCTGGCTATGAATCCTCTATTTAAACTTTTTAATTTTTAATCCTATGCATTACAACCTTCCATTACCACATGGACATACCAGGTTAGGGCTATTTACTTATTATTTATATCAAGGTACCACCTCATTGGATGTTACTAAGTATTCATAGTCCTTTGAATTTACCTTTGACACAAACTTACTAAGTATAGTACCAAGATTACTTTCTTAGATTTTATTCATATTGGTGTATCTAGTATCTACTAAACTGGTTTTTGGTGCCAGAGGTGTTTGAGTTTCAGTAAGTTTATTTCTTTTTTATAGTTTCCCTTTATGTTTACTATATCATCTGCTAGTGTGCCTTCTCTTTATTTCTGATATATTTACCACTTTTTTCGCATTGAGTGCCAACTCTTCATATCAGAAAACTTCTTTTTAGGAACTTTCTTATATACTGATCTTCTATTTACATAGACTTAAGCCACAGGGCTTTGTATATATTTATATGCTTCTGTAGATTACAAAGTTTTGCCTCTAGCTGAAATTAAACTGTCAACCTTGTCTATGAAAGAAAAGGCACCTAGACTACTAGGCTACAGAACCCATCTCTAATTTATTAATTATTATTATTATTATTATTATTATTATTTTTTAAACTTAGGCAGTCATGCTAGTACTTTATTAAGATTCTTGCAATTACTACAATTATATAGATCTACCTAACAAACAAGTTTAGCATCACTCAGCTATCCTAATAGTCCTAAGTGCAATCTGCTACATTACTTCAAACAGAAGTAAATTGTTTGTTAGACTACTTAAAGTCCATAATAAGAGAATCTTTCTTTTTTCATAACAAGCTCCAACATTGTTTTTCTAGCTTCATCTTTGATTCATTTTTTTCTCTTTCTTAATTATCAAGCAAGAAGATTCTATAATTTTTGTCTAAAGAACAACAGGATATATGAAAGAAAAACTAAATAGAGTAAAAAAGAGAGGACTAACTACAAAACCTAAATGTAAACCAAAAGAAAAAAAAAAGAAAAGATAAAAAAAAGAAAAACAAAAAAAAACAAAAAACATGAAGGCACTGTTTTTGTCTGTGCTTGGCTTTAAAAATTCTATATAATACTAAATAAAAAATACCTTACATTTACTTTAACTTCATATTATAATATATTCCATTTGTCATATAGAGAAAATGGTTAAAGTTTTTATTTTCCTTTTGAGTTTGACATGTGTTATTTATTATAGATCTGATACTCATATCATAATTTTCTCATGACTAATATTACCAATTTAGAAAGGTAAACAATGTCAATCTTTTAGAAGGGGTATACCAGATTTTCCACTTTTTGGTAAAAATTTTGAAAGAAAAATCCAGTAGTAAGGATAGAAAGAAAAACCAACTTGAGAAGAAGTTGTAAGAGTTAACTATATAGAATATTATATTAAATCAAGTAACTATTTAGGCCTAAGCTCTCATAGCACTTAACAAAGCTTCAGAGCTTATCTACTACTTCTTTGTTTGGTAGTACTTATGTTTTACCAAGGAACTTCATTTACAAGGGTTCAAATCTTTTTTAGCTTTTTTCAGTTACAACTAAATATGCTGTAAATAACCTTTCTAGTTATTTCAAAGTAGAGTTTTGTTATATTTAAATATAATAACTATATAGTTTTCATAGGTCAGACTTTTGGAAAAAGTTGGTATGAGGGATCATCAGAAAGAGTTGATATTAAAATTTTTATCTATTATTATTATTATTATTACTAATAATATTCTTTAATTGAATATATTTTATATTTTAGTTGCAGGCTTATTATGAAATTGGAAAGAAAAATTCTTTATTTTTTAAATATCATGATGTTTCAAGAAATAATAAAAAAGATTATATATTTGTTTAGAACTATACTATCATGGATTTTCTATATAAAATTTTTTTAATATATTATAATTATTTTAGAAAGATAAACTAAGTTTATTATATTTAATTTCTTTTAATCTTCAAGCAATTCATTCTCAAAATCTAATTCATTGAAATTTGCATAGTAGTAATAATTTACAAAATTAATTATATAATACTATATACTAATTTTGTATTATATTTAACATTTACTTAAATCCTAATTATTTTATTCAATTGAATAAATATATAATAAGTATGATAACTTGAAAGATAAAACAATATAATAAGTAATTGCATATTATATTTAAAAATAAGTTTATACAATAAAGTAGTACAAAAGAGCAAAATCTACTTTTTAAAACCAAACTTCACTAATGATTAGTATATAAAAATAGCAAATATTAACTATTTTATAAGTTTAACCAGTTATATAAAACAATTGAACTAGTTATTATAATAGTTAATCATATAATGAATGAACTAGTTATTATAGTTTATGATATATTAACAAATGTAATAAACTAGCTAGTTCAACTAGTTTTGATTTTAATGATAACAGTTTAAGTTCTGAACTGAGTTAGTGTAGTTCAATCCTAACTATTTAACATTCCTAGATCAGTTACAAACCTTTGAATGACCAATATCAGTTACAGTTATGACCAGTCAATAACTGGTTATAACTGTAACTGATCCATCTCTAATTATATATACAATAGTGCAATAAACTATATATTTATTAAATGCAATACTAATACTCTTCATGTCTTCTGTTTCTGGTTTTATATAACAATGTCATGCAGCTATCTTAGTCTTCACTGATCTATACATAAAATCTATACTACTGAATTTTATTATAATACCTTACATAGATTGATTAATTAGTATATCAGACTATATGGTGTTATAAAAAAATCAGTTATCAACATTAAGACTTAACTGATAACTAAGTTATCTGATATGTCTTATATGTATAGTAAATGATTTTTGAATAAGTTATCCTAATACAAATATACAAATTTCATTCCTTTCTAAGAGGTGAGTGAAAATTTGAAATATATGTCAAGAAAAACTTATACAGAGGGATCCCCAAAATTTTAAGTCAAAATACTTCAGAATCATAATTGGTAGACTGAAATTAAATAATTTTGTCCAAGATTACTAAACGTTTTACTAATAAAACTATAGTTTACTCATTAAGTAAATCTGTTTAGCTAATAATTTTGGCCCAAAAATGGTTAATTTGTATTACTAAATGTCAACTAAATGCTAGACTAAATCTGATGATTTTGATCAGAATTTTGGAGATCCTCCTGTACAGAGTTGTAAAATTATGATAATTTATATAAGTTACTAAAATATTAAGTTACTGATAACTTACTGGTAACTTACCATATTTTTTGAATTCAAAATTATTATTATTAAATTTAATTTTTGATTTGTAAATTAAAGAATATGAACTTCTAATATGTGATAAAACTATAAAATAAATATTAAAAATTTTATTCATTTAAATCTTAAAAATTATTACTAATATCTATACACCTATTTTCATTATATGTAATTAACTCATTCTCTGAAAATAAATTATTAAATACATCTTCAAAATTTTCTTTTTTATTATTTATTACTAAATCTTAAATAAAATCTGTAATCTTATTTAAAATCATCTATTCAGTCCAAATTTCTCAAAATTCATAAATTTCATTAAATATAAACACATTTTTCTACTTTTGAATCTGTAAGTCTGTTTTACAACTTATTATATATTAAACCAAAAGTAGACCAATTTCTCTTACATACTGTAGAGGTAACTGGTATTGATAATATATATAGTGCGATCTCACTTAATGCAGAATATCTGCTCTTAATAAACCCTACCAATTTATTGGATTTTGTATAAGATTAGAATTCTACAAACATTATCATACAAAATGATCTTTTTTAAAAACATATTTTACATATTCGATTAATATATTTTTTGATATTGACTTAATACTAATTATAGTAATTATCTTCAATAATTGAATCCTATTTTTTTGAATTTAAGCTTCTAACTTGATATCAAGAATCAAGCTTATATGCTAATATAATTACTAAATTATAAAGGAAATTTTTTCATTGTTTTGTTCTCTTATTAATCATATTTATTTTAAAATCATCTGAAATTTTAGTATTTTCAAAGATAGAAATTTTTAATTTGCATAATTCAGAATAAGTTATTAAAAATATTAGTGATCAGTTTGTAATTTTTTTAAAAAATTTGTAAAAGATAAAAGAAAATTATAAAGAATTTTAAGATTAATTCAAAAATTATTTGATAAAATTTTATTCTTAATTTTATCAGATATTTTAATATTATCTTCTAATGTAATTCTTTGAATAGTTATTTTAGTTTTAGAAGATTATTTGTAGCTTAAAATGTAGATCTTCATCATGTATCTCTAAAAAGTAATAATGATATATATTTATTATAAACTTCAAGTTAAAGTCGATGTAGTGTTGCTAAAATTATTTAATGATCTTGAAAATAATTAAAAATTTCTTTTATAAATTGTACAGTTTAAGATGCCTATTCTAAACTAATAATGTCTTTAATCTAAAGATTAATCCTATGTGCACAACAACCTAAAAAAACCTAATTTATAAAATAAAATTAAATAATTAAATATACAATATATACAATTTATAATAAATTTAATATAGTTAATATATACCTTTTGGAGAAATGATATTTTTAAAATTTTCCAGACTGCTTTTATAATATTAGCATTGTTCATAATTATTATGACAATTTTATTTTTTCTAATTTCATCAATAATATGTTCAATTTTTGCTGCTATATTAATTGTAATATGCTGTTGTTCACTAGTAAATACTGCTTTATAAAAAAAGAGACTTGATATTGTAATCATATAGTTAATTACTGGCAATTGGTGAATATTAGATCATCCATTACTTGTAATACAAAAATATTTAGATTCATTCAAAATACTTTCAACAAGTTATTTAATTTTTATATGTTTTTGATGTAACAGTGTGTTTGATAATTGAAATCATAATGGAACCTTAAACCATAGAATGCTTTTTTGAAATACAGCTTTAATATCTTCATTTTCAATACCATTAAATGATATTCCAACTAAACAAAAAACCATGTTAATAAATTTTCTAGTATTTTTTGATCACTTTCAGTATATTCATCAATGGATGATTGAATTATATGATGCTCTTTTTTTTGAAAAATTGTTGATGCACTATTATTGTTTAGTGTATTGAATTTTTTGATAATTCATATAATTTTCAAGGTGATTTTGAAATCTTGTAACATTTTTAACATATGTAGTATTACAATGCTTACAATGATACTTCTCTGTTCCTTCTGAATCAATATCAACTAATTTATATTCATTCCAAAAAATACCTTTTTGTCATGGCATTTTTAAATAATATATATAATGGTATAATTTTATTTTATTTTTAATATAACATTTCAAGCTATTTATACTATATCATTATTGATTACTAAGTTTTGGGATTATGAATTTTCTACAATTTGATTCGTAATTATGATATAATTTATCACAGTCCTTATCATGTAACTTACCATTAAGAAATTTTAGTAACTTACTGGTAATTTACCATGGTAAGTTACGATGGTAAAATTACCTTCAACAACACTGCCCATGTATGAGTTGTCAAGAAATCCCGAGCTGAAGATTACTTTCGACCCTATCCGGATCCAATAAAATTACAGAATCTCGTGTAACAAAACAAACGCGAAAAACATAAATTGTAAATAACACAAAATTTTACTATGATTACTAACTTCCGACCTCTAAGTAAAAGTTTTCAGAATGAAATTTTACTTATAAGGCACGATTGTTAATGTTAGATATATAGAGAATTTTTGTTATACTACGACTCATATCTTTTTTGGCGGCAGCTCGAGATTTTCTTGATATAAAGAAATTTGAAAATTTGTGTATTTGTAATAGGTGACCGAATAACTTATACAAAAAAAGTCCACTGTTCACATAGGATATGTCGAATAAGATTTATTGTTGAGCAGTAATTTTAATATAATTATCTCTTGAATGTTAAATAAAACTTTAACGATTGATAATTTAGGCGTATGATGATTAATTCCTTTGAAGAAGGCACCAGAACATTAGCACAACAAATAACAAGAATGGAAGATAGAATGAACTGTATGAACAACACAACATCTGAAACGACCAATACTGCAAGCAATAAATAAAGAATGAGATGGTCAATGAATAAAGGAGAATAAACTATGCGAGTGACGAGTAAAAAAGAGCGAACAATTCAATCAATAAGAAACAATGCAAACACCAAGTAATAATCATAACCAATTATTAAATGTCGTAAATAAAAAAAAAATCGTATAGAACGAAAAGTATACAACATATCACGAGCCGATTGAAACTAAAGATTTTTTTTAATAACTAATTTATATTTGATTTAAAATAAAATATATCATTTTGCAGTAAATAGAATTTTCGATATTTTAAAAGTAGCCAACCTAATAATGTCTATAGTAATCCTAAGTCAGTTCCAATAAACTCACAGACAATCACTCACATTTCACCGACAATTATTCACCGACAGTTTATTTCACCAAAGATCATTTCACAGACAAAATAGTTTTAGCCATTGTCGTTAGGGTCAGGTTAGAATTAGAGTTAAAGTTTGTGTAATTATAAAATAAAACTATAATTCTAGCATCACCACCCTAAAATTTTCGCCAACTATGTGATCTTATTGAAAACATTGTTTCGAAATTAGTTTAGGGTTAGGGTCCCACCAGTAGATTGATGTATGTTTAAATGGTTATATTATAGTAAAACTTCACAAGAAAATTCTTGTTAGTACGGTACGGAGCATTTTTTTGTTTTGATTTTTTTGCGTTACACGAGATCTTGAAATCTGTTTGGGCAGCGAAATTTTTTTGAATGGTGATTTAACTGCTATTAAAAAAAACTTGTCGGTGAAATGAGCTTAGGTGAAATAACCTGTCGGTGAAATGAACTTGTCGGTGAATAATTGTTGGTAAAATGTGGTATCTATGAAGTGATTGTCGGTGAAATAATACGGATCCATCCTAAGTAAATCCCACTTAATAATAATTTTAAATACACCCGATTTAATAATTTCTTTGCCCAGCTTTACTATACCTTTTTATGATTCGTCAGGAATTTGATTCAGATAATCTTTTTGATATTTCTTGTACATCTATAGGTTTACTGATATAGATCATATTCGAATGATTTGGTGATTCAAGGTCAAAATTAGGTACAATTTTATCAGCTTCTAAAAATTGCTTTTTTATTTTATTTTCATCGTCAGAGCTCTCTATTTCTTCAATCCATGTAGTAATCAGTGCATTAACATATCGGATAGTAGGTCGTTTTTTCGGGGTTGAATCCATGCATCGCTTGGCTAATTTAATATAACGATCTGGTGTACCAGATGTAAATTCTGGTCGTAATCCTTGGCAAATTTTTATCGCAAGTTTAAGGTCACCAAATTTATAATCATCGAAAGCCTTTCTTCCAGTTGATATTTCTGTCATAATTATACCCAAAGCATAAATATCAACTGCTTGAGTATATGGTTTTTTTTGTAACACTTCCGGTGCGACATAAGGCAAAACTCCATTTATTCCTTTTTCACACGCATCCTTTGTACTGGAAAGCCCCAAATCGATAATATACGCGTTGTCTAATTCGTCTTGCAAAATGTTTCCACTATGAAAATCACGATGTTCTAACCCTTGTGAATGAATTGCTTCAAGATCAGATGTTATGCAACTTAATAAATTTAACTTTTCTATCCATTTTATTTGCGATACTTTGTGAAGGTTATTACGTAATGAACCACTTTCTGCATATTTCAAAATAAGAAGATAATTTCCTGAATCATCTCTCGATAATCCATAGCATTTTAAGAACGATGGATATTTATATCCGATCTCGCAAAAAGCTTTTAACTTTAAAAATAAATACAATATTAGTCAAATTCAAATATTTTAAACAAAACTCAATAAATTTACCTCGTCAAAAAAATCTTGGTCATGAATTTTTTTAAGTGCGAACGAATGTTTTCTATAAGTATCCTTATGATAAATTGGACATTTAGCATGGTAAACAGTTGCATATCCACCCCTCCCAATCTCTTTAACATTTTCAAATTTATTATATGGAATCCATAATAATTGGTACTTTTCATCATCCAATATTTTTTTAACGTTATCATCGATATCAGAATATGAAAACTTCACTATTTCTATTTATTATTAAACCAAGAAATACAGTATTAAATTTGGAAAATTACTATAAAACCAAATCGTAACAAATACCTTGAAATTTATTTTTCTCGCTATATTTATAATTGTTAAATATTTATTCTAAAAAAAATAACAATAATAATATATAAATAAATAAATAGAACTTACATTCTAAACCAATACTCGGCTTCTTTTAAATCCTTTTTTGTTCCAATACCATTTCGATAACAATATCCAACACTTCTTATTCCGTCAACTGAACCAAGCTTAGCAGATTCCAAGTACAATTCAAAAGCCTTCTTTAAATCCTTTTTAGTACCAATTTCATTCTGATAACATTCTCCAAGATTAAAAGTCGCATCAGGAGACCCCATACTAGCAGCTTTTTGATAATAAAAAAATGCCATATTTTCATCTTTTTCAATCCCTTCTTCAAATCGATAGCATTCACCAACATTATTCATTCCGTAAACATGACCCATATCAGCAGATTTCTTAAAATAAAAGAATGCCTTACGTTCATCCTTTTCAACTCCAATCCCTTCGTTATAACAATTACCAACAATATATGTTCCATCAACGTTCCCCATCTCTGCAGATTTTTGATAATAAATAAATGCCTTATGTTCATCCTTTTCAACTCCAACTCCTTTAAGATAACAGTTACCAAGTGTAAACATTCCACTACCGTTCCCCATCTCAGCAGATTTTTGATAATAAATGAATGCGTTATTTTCATTCTTTTCAACTCCAATTCCTTTTAAATAACAGTTACCAAGTGTAAATATTCCACTAACGCTTCCCATCCCAGCTGAATTTTGATAATAAATGAATGCTTTATAATCATCCTTTTCAACTCCAATTCCATTTCGATAACAATATCCAACCATATATGTTCCACTAACGTTCCCTATCTCAGCAGATTTTTGATAATAAATGAATGCCTTATGTTCATCCTTTTCAACTCCAATCCCATTGAGATAACAATATCCAACATCTAAAGTTGCAGTTGCATAACCCATGTCTGCAGATTTTTTATAGTATTCAAAAGCCTTATGCTCGTCTTTCTCGACTCCAATGCCATTGTGATATTTCCATCCAAGTTCACGGAGTTCTTTATCTGTCTGACTCATACTCAATGATATATTGTCAAATAAATTTTTTTTCATTGTTATTTATAGTATACATTTACGATTATCTTTTACAAAAATAGTCCAACTTTATTTTTTAATTTATACAAAAAAAATTGATTATTTAATATTAATGCAGAGTAGAGATGGGTAACATGCGCACGCATGATACCTGAAACATGCACATTTTTGCCCATCAAGAATTATATGTGTTTTGATTAGACCGCATAATTTAGGCCAGGGAGCATAATGCCGGACAGAATTAAAAGATAGGAATTTCAAAAGTTCCGAACAATTCAGAAAAGAAAATGAATGAGCCTCAAAGACGAGCAAGGTCGCGACTGAAATTCGAGAAACATACCGATTTTTTTCGAAATGAAACAGAAAAAAGAGAATTTATATCATGCGGTATCATGTGCATGTTATTATAAAATGCGCATTTCCCCCATCACTAATGCAGAGGCACTGTATCGGTATATAGTTTTTAATTAGCCAAATTGAGTCGTACGATACGGTTGATTTGTAATGATATTTAAAATTGCAATCAACAGAATATGACTTCAACCTAAACAATAATAGTTTACATCAAATCATTTCACAACGCAATAGTAATTATGGGTAGTAATTAGTGTAGCATTATTTATTAAGCTATTCATTTGCTCACACAATGCTATAGTAATCTTAACCTAAAGTAATATTAATTGGGCTGCAATCTCAGTTATATCTAATAATCAAGGCAAAGCGATTACCCCTCACTTCACCGACACTCAATTCTCAGTAGAGATGGGCAAGATAATTACTTATTACATTATGCGATAATTTAGCATCTTATTAGTTGTAAGTATATATTATTAGTAAATTGTCGCATAATGTGATTTTTTTACGTAATAAGTAATTACCTTGCACATCTCTAATTCTCAGACATTTTTATTTCGCCGACACTTATTTCACAGACAAACTCAATCATTTATCATTAACTATGTTGCTTATTCGTATTAATAATGAAAATACAAACATTAGGTTAGTTGTGAATAATTTAAAAAGTATTATACAGTTGGTCCTCGTTAATGTCAATCTCTTAATATAAATCTCTCATATATCAACTTTAATACGATCTCATTAATATTCATTCATATCACTAATTAATATCACTATCGATATGAATATAAAATTTCATACATATAATATGTTTTCGTTGATATTCTTGGCCAATGAATCTTTAAAATCATGAATCATTTGTCAAATTTATTAATAATTAGATTCTCTGCGCGACATAGTCGAGTTTAAAACAGAAGCGTAGTATTACTAGATTTATATTGAGGATCCAATTGTAATGACGAACTTCTAATATTGTAAAAATAGGTACCATGCAATCAATTTAAAGTATTGTTCGCCTTGTCAAATTGATTAAACTTGCGAATCTCTTACGATAGAAGTGGAAATCTAAGGAACGATCTTCGTAAAGACCAGTACCAGACCGAGGATCGAATGATTTTCGGTCCTGGTTCAGACAACGGCCCTAGCTGATAAAAAAAAAGATAAATCATTAAAAAATAACGGCATAGTTACTTATAGTTACTTCCTCTGGCATCTCTTCTATTTTTTTTTTTAACTATTTTATTTCTTTCACCCAAACCATTTAACAGACCATTTTTTTAAGTTGTTATCGTTGAGGTTGTGTTTTAGTTGTGTAAGACCCACTAATCCTGAATATATTCTTCATGATTTGGTAACCGCTATAAGATAAACTTTGATAAAAGATATTTAATATCGAAGCTATAAATCTTGAGGCAATAATCTCTTTGTAATTTATGAAGAAGACTTTTATTAGTCGTTAAAAGCGGGCTTCTCAGTAAAATTTTGTGTTATTAACTTTTATTTATTTATTTATTTTAAAAAAGTTCCAAATATGTTCTAGTGTTGTTTCAACCGCCCTATGTACAACAGTGCTTAAGATCATGTTTTTGGGTTAAAATAATGAAAATTTAATGTGTGTGAGCTTAAATTTATATAGATGGTTTGAATTTAGTTAATCTAGCATTAATTTTGAACCAATCGATACCTTAATTTTCGAACTATTATTTTGATACAAATATAGTTAACCTCTAATAAATGTTCTTGTGGAGTTTGCGCTTATAAAGAGGGTTTTCTATGTATATGTTTATAGTATTTAGATTAAAATGTGTTTATGAAGAAAATGATTATATTATGTGTTTATATGAGATGACTATAGGAAATCAGGTTTGACTGTACATATTAAATAGCATAAATAAGATTCGACTTCAATTGAGAATTGCATGTAGGAGTCTGCTTTTGCATCTATTTGGTTTAAAATCACCATTTTAAGTTGGAGAACCAAGTTTGCTATACGTACGTACGTATGTACAGTACATACCTGATACAGTACGTACAGTATGTACTACGATCTTAGACAATCATTGTGTTAATCTGTGTTACCAGCAATTGAATTTACGGAGTTTTCAGTCAGATTAGTAGGGAACGTGACGCATCGTTCTTTTACCAAAATTATACTAGTTTGTCTTGAGAACAATCATACATACATGTGAATTATGTCTATTCAGATAAAGTTACAGGGTTATTCTATATTATTGGTAATTCTATTTAGAATGAATCTTGCTGAATTAATCAACATAAAACGGTAAGTACGACATATTACGTACGTACGTACGTACTTAAGTACTCTAACGTACGCACAAACGGTCAAATCATTGTAACGCCTTAACGTTAAGATTAAATTTATTTATAGTCACGACAGGAATTATTGACGGGGTTTTTTTTTTTTTGCCATTTTGACCATAGCTAAAAATTGAATTAAATGCAGCATTTACATGAAAGAGGTGAACAGGACGAAAAAATGTAGCACTACTTTTTAAACACTTTGAATGGAATGGTTTCAATTACGGACAAAAATCAGCTGCCTACGTACGTATCATTAAAACGTGATGTGCGTACATACGTACGTACGTACATACATAAGGGGCTATGTATAACCAACATCTATAGAAATATCTATAGTAATAAGCATAATGCATTTAGTCATGACAAAGAATCAAGTACAGTACGTACAAATGCAGTACAGCATCAACTAGAGAATGCAATAAATAAAATGATGCAGTTTGTGCTACACAAACATAATTACTTATCGTTATTCTTTTTATTTTTATAAATTAGGACTTTCGGATGTTTATGTAATTGTCCATTTCTTATTTCAATCATTAAACCAAATAATGAAAAGATTTTAACTTGAATATCTTAAATCTCTATTAGTTCTAGTGGCTAGTATAAAGTTTATTTCTTTTAATTCCCGTAAAATAAATAAATATTAAAAAAATTTTTTTTCCGATTTCCAAACAAATATTTTTATCAAAGTTGCACATATTCAACGGAATTTTTTTTTAACAAAAACAAATATCACAAAATTGTTTATTTAGGTTATAATTGATAGGTTGTGTTCGGTGAAATGTTTCAATGTCATTAGTAAATAATTAACTCAATTCGGTTAATTCAGTTAATTCAATTAATTCATATCGATACCTTTTTTATCCTAACTAAATAAATAATATTTCGAGACTACGTTATAAATGGGTTGTTCATCTAGTAGAGAGACCCGTAGAATTTTAGCTCCTTCAAAGAACTGTCCTAATTGTAAAAAACAATATACCCAACGTAATTGGTGTAAACCTTGTGAATCCCGACGTTTCAATGATGATTTTCATAATTGGACAAGTGGTGATACTGAGTTAGATCAATTTATCCAATACACTCAATTAAATTCTGCTGCTCCTTTGACGTTCTTGGAATGGATTCCATATGATAAATTTGCAAATTTAAAAGAAATCGGAAAAGGTGGTTTTGGATTGGTTTATAAGGCTACTTGGAAGCCGGGTCCAAAATTATATTGGGATGATTTGAAATCTCAATGGGTGCGGGAAAGTGAAAAACAAGTCGCCCTTAAAAGACTAAATGGATCAAATAATTCTGATACATCCTTCTGGCAAGAGGTATATCTTTTAACTAATTTGTATATTAATATATATCTATATTTTTAATTGTACTCATTGCTAATATTTTAATTTTAATTATTAGCTTCGTAAATATCATTGTATTTATCAAAGTGATCACATTCTTCGTTGTTACGGTTTCAGTCGTGATCCTATATCAAATGACTATATAATAGTTTCTGAATTAATAGAAAGTAATTTATACAATTATCTTTCAAAAAATTTCAAAAATCTCACTTGGGAAAAAAAATTAGGAATCGTTTATAATATAGCTCATGGTTTAATGAAAATTCATAATGCTGGTCTCATTCATAGAAATTTTCATAGTGGTAACATATTAAGATGTTTTAATGGCTCTCAACATATGACTTTAATATCTGATTTAGGTCAATATAGACCTCCTATTCTTAAAGATGATGTTTATAGTGTCTATGGTATATTACCTTATGTTGCTCCTGAAGTTTTATATGGGGGTGAGTACTCTGAGGCTTCTGATGTATATAGTTTTGGTATGGTGATGTGGGAAATAACAACTGGATTACATCCTTTCTTTGATCGTGCTCATGATGAAAAATTGGCCTGGGATATATGTAACGGTCTTCGACCCGCATTAACTGTGGAAACTCCTCGATGTTTCGTAGAACTGATGGAACTATGTTGGGATGCAAATCCTAAACGGAGACCTGATATAAGGGAATTAGAAAAAATCTTTATGTCTTGGGGATGGCATATGGGTGTCTCTCAGAAACATGATGTGTTTGATCAATTTATTTCGGCTGAAAATGAAAGACAAAGATTATTAAAATCTGATGATTTGGATTCCCTTAAACAACCACATCCTGAAGCAATTTATAAAAGTAGATTATTGAAATTTTCGGATTTGCCAAAACCTGTGAATAGATCAAGTTATCTTAAAGTTTCTACCGAACGGTCGTCTTTCTCTTTTATTTCTGGTGATGATGGTAATTTATTACTTGTATAGAATATAAATCTTTGAAATTTTTATCTTTATTTGACTTTTAAATTCATTTTCTAGAAATAACTCCATATAAACCGACTGATACTTATGATGGCTTTGAAAGAGGTAAATAAACTAATAAGTATATATCATCATTCTTTATTATTTAATTACAATCTTTTAACTTCATTTTTAATGAATAGATTCTCGAGAAATAAGTTTTCCTGTATCAGATGAAGACCTTGCAATTTCAATTAATAACTTTTAAAATAATTTTTTCGTGTATTTGACTTGTCAAATTATCAAATAATATATATATTTCTCTTGTTTTACTAAGATGTGCTTGCCTCTATTATTAATGATTAATTATTTAATTTTTTTAGTTCTTTAAAATAATTTTAAGCGTTACATGATTTTTATTATCATTTATGTCAATAAGGGTGGATGGACTTTTTTAAAATTTAGTATGAACAATGGTCTCATATACGAACTTTGATGTAAAACTTTGAACAATTTACTTATTATATAGAAAAAATTTTCGCAATAGATCTTATTTATTACTTTGTGTATAAATCAAAAACTTTTTTTTTATAAGTTTAGATTTATTAAAAATTTAAAAAAGCTTAAGTTTTAATGATGCCGTTTGCGAATTTTTTGCTAAGCAATGTGAAATATGCGATGAAAAAAAGTCTTAAACTTAAAACAGTAAATAATTTTAAACTAATACTCATCCAGCCATTCTTCGGCTTTTTTTTCATCCAAAGTTGTTCCTATGCCATATTGGTAACAGTTACTAAGATTTTCTTTCCCTGAATAGTTTCCATTTTCTGCAGATTTTAAAAACCATTCAAAGGCTTTTTTTTCATCTATATTAGTTCCTATGCCATCGCGATAACATTCACCTAGATTATTTTGTCCTGAAGAATCACCTCCTTCGGCTGATTTTAAAAACCATTCAAATGCCTTGTCGTAATCTACAAAGGTTCCTATGCCATCACGATAACACTGGCCAAGATTATTTTGTCCTAAACTATATCCACCTTCAACAGATTTAAGAAACCATTCAAAAGCTTTGTCTTCATCCACTATAGTTCCACTACCATCACGATAACATTGTCCAAGATTATTTTGTCCTAAACGATTTCCTTCTTCGGCAGATTTTAAAAAGCATACAAAAGCCTCTTCCTCATCTATATAAGTTCCTATACCACTAAAATAACATTCTCCAAGATTATGTAGTCCTAAGCTGTTTCCCTTTTCTGCTGATTTCGTATACCAATTTAAAGCCTCTTCTTCATTTTTAGGAATACCTTCTCCATGTTCATAACTATATCCAATGCTATTTTGTGCTTTTGCATTCCCTTCTTCTGCTGATTCTAAGTACCAATTAAATGATTGTAAATTATTTTTAATCACTCCTTCACCAACTGAATAACAATCTCCAACATAAGCTTTTGCTAGATTTGAACCCTTGGCAACTGATTTTAAAAATAATTGTAGTGCTTTTGGTTGATTTACTACAACCCCTTTCCCTTCTATATAAAGTAATCCAAGAGATATCAATCCAATTAACTGATTTTCTTTTAAAATGAAATCGTCTAATTTATTTAAAGAATCTCTATAATAAAAATCTTTAGATGCTTGTCTATAATTATCAAACGCTTTATGATAATCAATTATTGTTCCAATTCCATGTTCATAAAAAAAACCAATAATACTTGTAAAATAATATTTATATTTATAATTATTATATTGTCTAAGAATTTCATCCGGATTTTTGTTATGATCATTCATATATTTCTTTACACGATAAATTGTAGAACTTACAGTATTTGTTGTAGCCCCTTGTATATTATATTGGTTTGTAAAAAATTCATTTAAATCGAAAAGAAATTTCTGCTCTTCATTATCATATTTATTTGTACTAACTTGTGAAATTGGAATTTTTATATTGATATTCAAGGTAGTTAAAGTAGATAAAGAACTCGAATCATTACTTGAATTGTTTTCATCATTCAAATCTTTTTTAAGGCTTGTAATCATTAAAGAAATTAATTCCAAGTCTTTTGATATTTCATCATGATAATCAACATAATATTTTAGTAAATCTATAGTATTTGAACTTTCCATTGCTAATTCTTCATCATTGTTCTCTATATTTTCATCATTCACTGTAAAAATCTCATTATTAATTATGTTATTATAATTAATATTATTCAAATTATCAACAACTTGTTGAATAGTCGGACGTTGATTTGAATCGTGTTGCCAACATTCTATAATAAAAGATAAATTTATAAAGTCCTTAATATATTTCATCTATATTATTAAAATCATGTAAAATAATTTTCTTGTTATCTGGCAGATATGATATACACTGACAGAATGTTTTTCATATTATGCCGCAGATTTTTAAGTCCGAATCTTTTATATAAAAAGTTACGGTAATAATGAGAAAAATTTTTCCGTTAGTGTTTACATAGTACCTGCCGGATAAATATAAAAAATCTACCTGTATAAAGTTTTATATAATCTATAGGTGTTCCAAATATTGCAACTTCACGTTTACCATTAATTATTTCATTTAATAGATTAAAGCTAAAAGGTAATTCAGATTTAAATGATTTAACTCCACTTGAAATTTCCCAAAGAAGAACTCCAATACTATATATATCAGAACTCTTGTTAAGCTTGTAAGTACTAGGATTTTGTAAATATTGAGGATCAGTATACGGAATGTAATTGAATTTCTTTGAAATTGTATTCTTATTTGGAAAAATATAAATTTTAATATCATCTTTATGAACAAAGATTTTTCTAGAATTCTAAATAATCAAAAAAAAAGTTAGCATTATTATTATTGTAAAAGAATTTTTTTTTAAAAAAAAACAAACCAAATACACAAATACCAAATTTAAATGAATCAAATCATTGTCATGTAAACATTTTACAGCACTAACAAGCTGTTTTGCAAGACGTAACTTATCATCCCAATTAATTTTACTAAAATTTTGGGTTAAGTATTGATTAAGAGTTCCATTATTCGCATACTCGTGAATGAACATGACCTCATCAATATTTTGCTTAATAACTGCTATAAATTTTAAGATATTTTCATGTAATTCCACTTTTTGATACTGTTTCAACTAAATAAACCATCAAATTGTATTTAGTACAATAATAATAAACATCAATCGTATTGTATTCTTATTTATTGAAGTACTTACATCATTGATAAAATCTTCTAGCGTATACTTTTGAAAAAAGACAATTTTGTTTAAAACTACAAATCTATTATACTTTTTTGAGAAAACTTTATAACTGTTACTAGATAACATCATGCCATCAGTTTCTAATTTATTAAAAGAATTATATGAGATAAATCTAATTTGATATTGTTTAAACTTATCCATCAAATTCTCTGATTTTAAAGAATCGGTTTCAGAATGTTTATAATTCATGTCTAAGATAAGTTAATTGTCGGAATGTCTATGTTATACAATGCTTTATATACACGTGAATTCGGTAGATTTCTGTGATATCTAATATTATTGGATATATGCAAGTCCTATCATTTATTGGATGAAATAAATGTACTTTAATTCTTTGCATTTCAATTTTTTATTAAGTCATGAATTCATTAGTGTATTTTTTTTGCTTGTTTTTTAATAGCAAACTAATCAATCTACCCCATAACAAAATTCAATATCTAGATCATTATAAATAGTCGTATTGATATTGGAAATAGTCCATATCTAAGTGTGAAAATTTCATTATTAGTCGTCAAGAAATAACGCTCATCGGAGTTGTTTAGTATATTGGCCCGAATTAAGCTCAATTTGGCACAAAATTCGAAATTACACTCCTGTGCATTATTTCTTGGCAATATAGCACAAAAAATAATAATTTTTTTAGTACATCTCAACATGGCAGTGAAAAGACTTAATTATAGCTATTTTTAATGTACGTAACTGTGTGACGTTACTGCACAAATCCAGGAACGAAGAGTATAGTTTATATTTAGATACGTACCTTATAGGAAAATTCATATATAGAAAGTCCTCTCTAAATGCATTATGACGGGACCATATGTAAAAATTTAGTCAAACGTGCATGCATTTAAGGAGGCAAACATCTTTACGTCTTATATTATTTGGCCCATATGAAGACATGCATTTAGGCAATTAGGGGTTGCATTTTAGGGAGGTCCGATCCGACCGACTGTAATAAAATTAACAAAACTTTATATTATTTGTTATATCGGTACTTAAATTCCTACGTGCCTGAAACAAAATTCCTTTTTTACACACGTCATTATATTCTTCATTTAACAATACACTCCGTTCTGGTGTATCTATATGTGAAATAGACAAGTTCTCCTGTTTAAATTCGTTGGAACACTATTTCGAATCGTGTACATAAAACCAAATTTAATTTTGCAACTTAATAAAACCTGTTATTACTACATATTTATTAGTGTAAACTAGTCGCTTGAGTTGCTTAAAGGGAGCTGGATATGAATGTAATGTATTTGGTCATATCAAGTAAATAAAAAATGCTTCTCGAATTCAGAAAAAAGAACTCATAATCCTCTTGAGTTTCAATATCTTTTGTTTCACTAATTTCTTCAATAAGTAAAATTTGTATTAATGATAGGAATTAGTGAATAAATCTCGTGACTTCATATTAAGAGACTCGTGATGTAGTCTAGAGTTCTAATTGACCCTAGTTACTCAGGCCAAGTCTTACCACACTTCGATCGTAGTTTTCACTATTAGGGTTGGAAATAGAGTAGTATTTAGTAGTGTTAGTTTGTTGTTTATAGTTAGTGTGACCAGATTTCGATATATTTCAGTCTGGTACCATTTTCCACTGTCACAATTAGTTATGATGCGTGAGACCGATGTGGTAGCCACAAACTCCTGGAAGATCGTATCTTATAAAATTCTAAAATGTATAAAAGTTCTAATTGTCTCAATTAATGAAGTAAAAGAGTTTAAGAGCTTCTCGCAATTACGACATATTTCCACTGCCCAACTAAACCCAAGGTTATGGTGGTAATTAAATTGTGCATTAGTTTTGGTTGTAGCAACAACATAGTACATGCGTACGTATATTTAAGCCTGTTAATGAAGTAGCATATTCCAAATCGAGTTGGAGTGGGTTGAAGATATGTTAGAGTAAAATTGGAGTAAAGTGGAGCAACTCTAAGGAAATTTGGAGTGGTTCTAGGTGAGCTTGACCCAAGTTGAGGGATAACCCAACCCAACCTGTCTCTGATTGGCTAATAAATTCAACTCAATCTTACAGTTTAGAGTAATTTTTTAAAAAACGAAAACCAATCATAATGAAATAAAAAAGCTATATAGAAGGTTTTATCAGAGCTGTAAGACTTCATAGCCAAAGATAAGATCGAATTCTTGTTTATTTAAAAAAGTTATAGTAATTACTTTTAAAACCCGAATTAGATTTTATTTATTTTTTATGAGGACGATGCGTGTCGTACCTTTATTGAGTTCTGATTATTACTTTATAATACAAGAAATCGTGATACATGCATTGGTCAATTTATTAGGGTGGTAAATCAACTAAGTAATCAAAACTATGTCAGCTATATTGATCATTTTACTATGATCAGATTTTTATCAGCAAAATATTAAAAATGATCGATCAAACAATTTTAAGCATTTTACTTATAAATAAAGCGTCTAATTCTAAAGTTTTCACACAAATATTGTACTTATTTATTTAATTTCTTTCGATTGAAACCACTGCGGCACAACTATCTTAAAGTAATTATGTTGGATTTTTTTGCAAAGTTCTAATTAAATTTTGACTTGCATAATTAAGACTGTTTTTTTTATTCTAATTGATGAAATTTTGAACATTCTGCAAGATGAACATTCAAGACTTACATATTAATAAAGAATCCGTAAACATATTTTTATTTTTAAACATTTTATAAATAACCTGTGAAAGTTTCAAGGTAATTCCATGTCTCAATAATTAGTTGAAACGTTTGGAATTTATCGCTTAATAATAACATAATAGGACAATTTAAAAAATTAGTTGTAACAGTTTATAAAATGCCCAGGGTATCTAAACAAAAAGCTAAAACACACAAGGCAAGTCAAGCATCAGTAAATGTACGGAAAGCTGCTCACCGTAATAAGCAAATTCAAAATATCAACCAAGTGTTAATACAAATGGATGATAGTGAATTGCAGTTAACCTATCAAAGTATTATGCAATCAATTGATAATGAAAAAAATGATTCGAACATGCAATCAAATGATAATGAAAAAAACAATTCAAACGCGCAATCAAATAATAATAAAAAAAACAAATTGAAAGCACCATTAAATGATAATGAAAAAAAAAATCAAAGAATGTTTCAAAAATTACTCTATACAATCGAACAACTGCCTGATGATCAATTAAAAGCCACAATTCATTTGCTTGATACTATGCGGTACTTTAAAGGACCAAATGAGGGTAAATTACTTTCACCTTACCTGCAGGATAAAGCTTTAAACTTTATAAGCTCATCTCTTTACAAAGTGGGCCAAGATTCGAGTTCACTAATTCAAAATAATAAAGAATTACAAAAAACAATAAGTTGATTAGAGTACATGAATGCTAAAAAGAATCATAAAATCAACCATTTGGTAGGCAAATTATCACAATATAAGCGTAAACACAAGCAATATATTTCAAAGGTCCGTGCTTCTGCCCATAGACCATTACTTGTAGATTCGCAAAGTTTAAAGATAGGCATATTAGCATTGTTCAAAAAAAATAAGCATCAATATACATCCCAATTTATTAGCATGGCTACACAAGTATCACAAGTTGGTCAAATATCGTTTCAAAGCACTGTTTAAGCTACACAAATTATACTGGGCTTTTTAACTGGAGAAAGTTCTTTGTCATCAATTACACATCAATCTGTTATTCGATGGGATAAGGAAATCAGTGAACTTTATATAAACCAAATTTTAAACCAAAGTAAGGTTTCAACTATCGGAATAATAATAGATGAGTCGACTAGAGGCCAACAAAAGATATTTGTTCTTTGCATTTTATTTTGGAATACAAGAAATAATAGACCGGATTTTCAATTACTAGAAATGAAGGATTTGCAAAATTGTACTAGAATGTTGGTTGCTCAATCCATATATAATATCTTTAATAACTTTGAAATAAATCCGCAACAATGTCTCATTTGTGTTTCAGATAACACAAATTACATGAGTGGCAAGAATTGGGGTGCGATTACTTTGTTTAACAATATAAGCAGTGCTAAATTATTTAGAATTCCATGTGGAATTCATGTTGCGCACATTATAATGAATAACTTTGAGGAGATTACATTTGGGAAACTATCTAATATTGGTGGTTTTTCACAAAAAGAGCACCCAGCAAACCTCTTGTATCTGGCTTGGGAACTTCATGATGGTTACAATAAAAATGATAAAGACAAGCCTATGGGAGTACGATCAGATTACATTCGCCAACTTTATATGGAACAATTTAAGTATAAGCTAACCCAATATCAACGACCTATTCGATCATAGTGGCTTTATGAACTTATGTGTGCTGAGCAATATTTAGAGTGAAGAAATATACACAAACAATTTACAAAATGGTTCTTATTCTGTCTTAAAGCTCGGAACAATACACCAAAATCGTATATAAAAAAGTGTGAATTATTTGAACATTGGCTTTGTAATCCACTATTAAACATTCAAATCGAGCTATTAGTTCGTTTTGGTAAAGAATTTTATTATCCTATGGTTAAATTTATTACAGGATACGATCCTGAATTAAAGATATCTGATCAAAATTCTGCACTAACCAATCTTCCTCCTGGCAGACATGCCCACCAAATGCCTGATTTTATAGTTCGTACAACAATGAGGCTTAAGAATATCATTGAAGATTCTTATTTATTCTTTGAAAAAGATCTATTAAAAAATATAGATTTATTAGAAGATCATCAACTCCATAAACTTGTTCTAGATCTTGAACGTGGTACACAAAAAGCATTAGAACTTCACCAAAAATGACTAGATTGCTGGTTGCATTTACCGGTAAGTATTTGTCATTTAGGCGGAAAACATGGACGTGAATATGCACGTAGCTTTGCTAATGTAGTTTTAGGAATACCCTGGTCATCAGTGCCTTTCTTGAGAGAATTATGCAATATGAAATTTATAGAGTTAGACATTAAATGTGATGGATTTAATGACTTTGGTCTATCAGCCGCATTGCATGATCCTATGTTCAATGATGAATTTCATCAATTTATTCAAAAAAAGGAAAAGCCTTTAAGCCAATTTCCTAAAATATTTGAATTTGTTAAACATTGAATCTGGTATATTATAATTCACCAGCAGCAGGTTGAAGGTCTCTTCAATAAATGGGATCTCAAAACTCATCCAAATATGCATAGCGACCTTCAACAATTAAAATTACGATTATCAAGTATGCCACTTAGTGAGATCAGTTGTAATTCTTTAGATTTAGCAGAATTTAGAGCCAAGAAATGTCAACAATTGGAATCTATACCTGAATCAAATTCAAGTCAGAAGGTTTTCAATGATGATAATGAGTGTGAGAAAAGAGCAAATAAATTGTTTAAAAATTTATTTGGGCAATAATTATAATATTTAATACAATTTAATTTCTGTATAGTGATATATATTTGTATTACAATAATAATATTTAAAGTGTATATTGAACATATCGAAATTTGATTTTTGTGTAACATAAAAAATCTGCCATATGTCATTTTCTATAGATTGCTAACATAGTTTTGATTACTTAGTTGATTTACCACTCTATCAATTTATGATAATTTGTTTATAAATATGGTTCTATTTATCTAATGATAAGAAAAGATCCTTTTCTTTCTTTTTAATTTTGTGTGTTTTACCATTACTTTAATTTTCTTTCTATGCTAGCCTTCCCAAATGTACTATTTTTTGTTTATATATATATATCATGTTTCATATACTAGGTTAAATGTGTAACCAGATCTTATATTTGGGTTTTAATTACTTTTTTTATTACATTACATCTTCTATAATTATTTTTTTTTTTTTTAGTATTAAGGTGACCTTTTTTGGTCCTTTGACTTTATTAACACTTTTGTCAAGCATATATTTATATGAACATATATTCATATTGAACTATTATAGAAGAGTGTACACTGATTGCACATATAACTTTTCTATGTTATCTATTTAAGAAGTCTGTCTAAAGGTTTCCTATCAGTTGTTGTACCTAACACATCTGTTTGAATATTCTAATTTTAACTTTCTGATTCTGTAACCCTTGTATTAACTTTATCAGATCACTCAGAACCCAGATCTTTGTCTCAACTTTAGAATTATGATTTATAGAATCATTTTTATCCTTAAAGTAAATCTTCCAGAGTCTTTTATATGTTCATATACAGCTAACCTAGTTATATTATTATTAAAAACCAATACTTATAGTTATAACTAATCATTAAACTATTTTTATTCTTGTAAAGTTTACTCAAAACCTGGTATCTATTTTTCTGATATTTTTTTCATCTTCTCTTACTAATTGTTACTCAGAACTAATAGAATTTTTCAGGTTACCAATTTAGATAGTCCATTGTAATATACTTATATATATATATTTTTTTGATTATTCTAGTAGTCTGGTTAGTGCATATATTTTTCTTATATATTTGTCTTTAGTTTATTTGACTATTTCTTTAAGAGAGTTTTATAGGTTTTTATTAGTTTTACAATATCATTAAAAATTTGTATTATTTTTTTATTAAATGAACTTCTGTTTTCTCAGTTTCTTAATTTGTTATATCTAGTGGTCTTATTATAGGTTTGTACTAAAGTCTTATATAACACTGGTTTTTTATATTCTTTTAATGTTATAGTTTGTATAGATTCATTGAGTTTCCAATATTAAGTAGAACTCAACTTGGTGTATCTAAAATTATAAATGCTTAAATCTAATTAATTGACAAAAAATAGTTACTATAACACAGATATAGTTTCCAAAATTTGTCACTTATAGAAATTGAATTTTAAACTTAAAATATTTTTATTTAATTTGTTTTTTAAAAATAAAAAATTTGAAATGTAGGTTTTAGTGATTAAAGATTATAAAGTATTGTATTAAGTCAAAAAATATTAAAGTTAATTATTATAAAAATGTTTAAGTATGCAATAATTAGATAATTTTAAAGTTTAAAGTATGTTTGTTATAACTAGATTCTACAAATTATCTATTTTTATAAATTAACTTAGTTTACATTTAGGATTAAAATTTTTTTATTAGCACAGCTTGATCTATATATATTAAATTTTTTCTTCAATTTGACCCAATCTGTTCAGTCTGTAAAATTTTTTAGTTTGGTCTTATTTACAATTATAAAATTTTATTTTAAGTCTGATTTAGATTGCAAAAATTTGCAAACTAGACTAGGTTAGGCTAAGCTGTAGAACCTAATTTAGACCTTTACAAAAGTTTCTATTATATTAAAATATATATATAAGTTTTTTAAAGAAAGTATAGTACCAATATCTCTATATCCAACTTGTGAATTACTTGATTAAAAGAATAAAACCGAAGTAACATAAATAGAAGTAATAAAAAAAGCAGTATATATAAAAAAATTTGTATAAAAATTTGGTTTTATCAAGACCAACTTCATTTTTGGTACTATATAATAACTGAAAATAAAAGATAACTGTATATATAAATAAGTTGTAATCTGTTTTGTATGTTTAAAATTTTGTAACTGAAGTTCTGGTTATATCTATATAGAAGCCTATAGTGAAACAAGTTAAATATATTACAAAAAATATTATATCAATTAAGTTTGAGATACTTAAATTAAAAATAATAAGACTTATTTAAATATAATGTAAACATTTTAGTTTAAATGTAGATTCAGATTAGATTGTTTTTTAAAAGACAAGAAAATTGCTTAAGATTGAAACAGAATAAAAAAAAACTTATAATATTAAGTAACAATAAGCAACTATAATAGCTAATTACTAAATAAGAATATCTGCTCATTCTCAAAATATAGTATTATCTATATTATAAAAAGAAATATCTAAAAAACAAGTTAAATATATAATCAGTTAAAAATAACACTAAGATTAAAAAGGATTACAAACTAGTAGTAACAATAAGAATTTGGCTTGAAATACATATTATCAATATCTGAATTGAAAAGTTAGTAGTAACAAAAAGACTTTGGTTTAAGATATATGCTAAAGAACACTCTTTAGACAAACTAATAATAAAGGCTTAAAAGAAGCAAATAACCTAATAAACTAATTTAAAAGTTATTAAAACATGTTATAAGATATAAGAAAAATATGTAAATTATTTAATATAATTAATAGTAAACCAAAAATCTAGATTCGATATAAGTGAAGCATAATATAAAACTCTAGTAAATTTAGATAAAGATAAATATATCTGAGTCCTATATCTGAATTGATATAATAATAGATAATATATAATATAGAATTGTACAAGCTATAATAAATATACTAATAAAAACTAGAGAGCATAATTTTTCTTAAAATAAACAAAAAAAACAAAACAATTTCAAAAAATTATATATAATATAAAGTATAAATAAGTAAATTAGTATATTATAAATTAAAATTTTTTTTTTAAATATTAATGGTGAGGCTATGCCTTTAACTTTATTAAAATTTTTACAAAGAAAGCTTGCTTTTAAATTATATATAAAAAATAAAGATTTAGACATATAATTAGCAATCTAAACTTACAAAAGTGGTCAAGGCTCATCTAGATTTGGGTTTAAGTAATAATATAAGAGAAAAGAATATGGTATTTAATTCATTAAATAGTTCAAAAAACAATTTTAGTAATAATTTATGATATTGAAATAGAAGGTAAAAGTAAACTAGAAGAATGACTATGAGTTAAGTTAGTAAAAAATGTAATTTAAAACTATGCAGAATATAAAATACAATATAAGATCTATATTGTATATTTGTTGGTTTAAGTAAAGAAGAAGTTTAATAAAAAAAGTAATAACAATATAATAAGAAATAGAAGCATTGTAACCTGCGGGTCGATAGCGAAGTGGTTACGCTCCCAGGTTACCAATCGCAAGGTTGCCGGTTCAAGTCCAACGGGGGACGAAAAACTGAGTTAGGACTATGATTGTTGATTAACCACAGCAGGTGATGCTCTATGAAAATAGGAAGATCTTTGGTACCCAGATCCTTAAATGGCGACGGACCTGACATAAGAAGGCCGCAATGATTAGGGGGCTGAGGATAATAATAGAACAAAGAAATCCCCAATTAGGAATAGTCCCAGTGAAATTCCGAAGTAATAGGAACACAAATAATTAGTACATAGATAGTACTGTAAAATGTATAAATAAAATGTAAAATGTAGGTGGAGTCCTGATAGAAGGTCCCGTAAACTTAAAAATTGAACTAATAAAATAGCTGCCAACTGCGGCCTACTAGCAACCAGGCAGTGGGAATTCAAAAAAAAAAAAAAAAAAAAAATTAATTTTTTGAGTTAATAGCATAGTAGTTATGCTTTAAGATTATAAATTACAAGACTGCTAGTTCAAATCCTAGTAACAGCAATTGTAAAGATATATTTCTAAAATAGAAAACTGCAATACTGTGAGACCAGAAACTTAGAACATTAATGGATAGACTTATTTTTAAAAATAATAAGTAATCTGTGATTAAGAAGCTACATAGTGAAGAACATGAGTTAAAGCCTGATTTGGAATAACTAAAATTATAAGATATAATGTGAGACTAAAAGTTTAACACTTATAAATACTATATGAACTTATAGCAATAACTAGTTCTTAACAGAGCCTGGTAAAACCTTCTGATTCTAACAGGAGTTAGTATAATAAATTGCTTTTGAAAAGTTTAAAATTACAGACTAGAAGAGGTTAAGATCTAGTAATCTTAAAAACATTAAGAACATTGTTCAAAAAAATGTACAAAGATATAAAAGAACTTAGTAAGACTGTTAAAGAATAAAAAAAAAATAAAAAAATATTATAATTTAATAATAAACAAAAAAAAACTACTAAAAATGTTTAAAAAAAAAAATTAATATTAAAAAAAATCTTTTTTAAAAATTTAATAAGTTGAGATAAATAAGTAGAAATAAAAATAAAAAAAATAAAAATTCTTTCTATTTAAGACTCAAAAAAAAACAAAGCTAATATGTTGAAAGATAAAATAAACACAACAATAAATAACATATATAAAGAATAAATAATAATAAACAATATAGTTTAAAACAAAAAAACAACAATACAAGAAATAAATAATATAACAAATATATATAATAACAGTTTATTAGATTAAAAATATAAAATTAATTTCTACAATATCTTGCAAAAAATAGTACTAAATAAGAAGTTTTAAAAAAACTACTAATTAAATAGTAATTTGGTTTTTTTTAAAATTAAAAAAAAAACAATTAACTTATTTCTTTTTTGTTTTAAAAACTAAATTAAGGGTAGGAGGTAGTATTTTAAAATTATATATAAACCTAATAGTAAATTTTTTTTATATTTAATTTTATAAAAAATTATATTAAGTAA